CGATGATGTGGCATACAATGATGTGGTTCATGCAATGATGTGGCATACAATGATGTGGTTCATGCAATGATGTGGCATACAATGATGTGGTTCATGCAATGATGTGGCATACAATGATGTGGTTCATGCAATGATGTGGCATACAATGATGTGGTTCATGCAATGATGTGGCGTACAATGATGTGGTTCATGCAATGATGTGGCATACAATGATGTGGTTCATGCGATGATGTGGCATACAATGATGTGGTTCATGCGATGATGTGGCATACAATGATGTGGTTCATGCAATGATGTGGCGTACAATGATGTGGTTCATGCGATGATGTGGCATACAATGATGTGGTTCATGCGATGATGTGGCATACAATGATGTGGTTCATGCGATGATGTGGCATACAATGATGTGGTTCATGCGATGATGTGGCATACAATGATGTGGTTCATGCGATGATGTGGCATACAATGATGTGGTTCATGCAATGATGTGGCATACAATGATGTGGTTCATGCAATGATGTGGCGTACAATGATGTGGTTCATGCGATGATGTGGCATACAATGATGTGGTTCATGCAATGATGTGGCATACAATGATGTGGTTCATGCAATGATGTGGCATACAATGATGTGGTTCATGCGATGATGTGGCATACAATGATGTGGTTCATGCGATGATGTGGCATACAATGATGTGGTTCATGCGATGATGTGGCATACAATGATGTGGTTCATGCAATGATGTGGCGTACAATGATGTGGTTCATGCGATGATGTGGCATACAATGATGTGGTTCATGCAATGATGTGGCATACAATGATGTGGTTCATGCAATGATGTGGCATACAATGATGTGGCATACAATGATGTGGTTCATGCGATGATGTGGCATACAATGATGTGGTTCATGCAATGATGTGGCGTACAATGATGTGGTTCATGCGATGATGTGGCATACAATGATGTGGTTCATGCGATGATGTGGCATACAATGATGTGGTTCATGCGATGATGTGGCATACAATGATGTGGTTCATGCGATGATGTGGCATACAATGATGTGGTTCATGCGATGATGTGGCATACAATGATGTGGTTCATGCGATGATGTGGCATACAATGATGTGGTTCATGCGATGATGTGGCATACAATGATGTGGTTCATGCAATGATGTGGCATACAATGATGTGGTTCATGCGATGATGTGGCATACAATGATGTGGTTCATGCGATGATGTGGCATACAATGATGTGGTTCATGCGACTATGTTGCGTACAATGATGTGGTTCATGCGATGATGTGGCATACAATGATGTGGTTCATGCGATGATGTGGCATACAATGATGTGGTTCATGCAATGATGTGGCATACAATGATGTGGTTCATGCGATGATGTGGCATACAATGATGTGGTTCATGCGATGATGTGGCATACAATGATGTGGTTCATGCGATGATGTGGCATACAATGATGTGGTTCATGCGATGATGTGGCATACAATGATGTGGTTCATGCGATGATGTGGCATACAATGATGTGGTTCATGCGATGATGTGGCATACAATGATGTGGTTCATGCGATGATGTGGCATACAATGATGTGGTTCATGCGATGATGTGGCATACAATGATGTGGTTCATGCAATGATGTGGCATACAATGATGTGGTTCATGCAATGATGTGGCGTACAATGATGTGGTTCATGCGATGATGTGGCATACAATGATGTGGTTCATGCGATGATGTGGCATACAATGATGTGGTTCATGCGATGATGTGGCATACAATGATGTGGTTCATGCGATGATGTGGCATACAATGATGTGGTTCATGCGATGATGTGGCATACAATGATGTGGTTCATGCGATGATGTGGCATACAATGATGTGGTTCATGCGATGATGTGGCATACAATGATGTGGTTCATGCGATGATGTGGCATACAATGATGTGGTTCATGCAATGATGTGGCATACAATGATGTGGTTCATGCAATGATGTGCCATACAATGATGTGGTTCATGCAATGATGTGGCGTACAATGATGTGGTTCATGGAATGATGTGGCATACAATGATGTGGTTCATGCAATGATGTGCCATACAATGATGTGGTTCATGCAATGATGTGGCATACAATGATGTGGTTCATGCGATGATGTGGCATACAATGATGTGGTTCATGCGATGATGTGGCATACAATGATGTGGTTCATGCGATGATGTGGCATACAATGATGTGGTTCATGCGATGATGTGGCATACAATGATGTGGTTCATGCGATGATGTGGCATACAATGATGTGGTTCATGCGATGATGTGGCATACAATGATGTGGTTCATGCGATGATGTGGCATACAATGATGTGGTTCATGCGATGATGTGGCATACAATGATGTGGTTCATGCAATGATGTGGCATACAATGATGTGGTTCATGCAATGATGTGGCGTACAATGATGTGGTTCATGCGATGATGTGGCATACAATGATGTGGTTCATGCGATGATGTGGCATACAATGATGTGGTTCATGCGATGATGTGGCATACAATGATGTGGTTCATGCGATGATGTGGCATACAATGATGTGGTTCATGCGATGATGTGGCATACAATGATGTGGTTCATGCGATGATGTGGCATACAATGATGTGGTTCATGCGATGATGTGGCATACAATGATGTGGTTCATGCGATGATGTGGCATACAATGATGTGGTTCATGCGATGATGTGGCATACAATGATGTGGTTCATGCGATGATGTGGCATACAATGATGTGGTTCATGCAATGATGTGGCATACAATGATGTGGTTCATGCAATGATGTGCCTTACAATGATGTGGTTCATGCAATGATGTGGCGTACAATGATGTGGTTCATGGAATGATGTGGCATACAATGATGTGGTTCATGCAATGAACTCTCTCTGCCTTCCTTTCTCCCCACCCCACACCCCACCAGTTGTCAGACGTTCGCAACATGCACGCTCCTCCCATCTCCCTGGGGGTTCTGCTGGGAAGACACCCTAAGCAGCAGCATCACCACCAGCACCACCAACAACAGCAGCTTCAGCAGCAGCAGCAGCAGCAGCAGCAGCAGCAACATCCGCTGCAGCAACAACAACAGTACCAGCATCAGCAGCAGCATCAGCTCCCGTCATCCACCCCTCCCTCTCTCGACGTCCTCTTTTCCACCTCTCTATCTCTCGTCCGCACACGTCTGCATGCCCTTGTTCTGCAATCCCTGCACTGCCCCTCCTTCCTCAACGCTGCTGTAGGCCCCCACCTCACCTCTGCTCTTTCTAACCGTGCCTCTGTGATTTCTGAATCGACTCAAAAGTCGCCCCACCTCTCCTCTGCTCTCCCTAACCGTGCCTCTGTGCTGTCACCAGCTCAAGCCTTTCCTGCTTCCCCAGCTTCCCCTGCTGGTGCTGCCACTGCTTCTGCGGCTGCGGCTGCTCCTTCTAGTGCGACTGGTCCTGCTGTTGCTGCTGCAGCTGCTGGTGCTTCTGCTGATGCTGCCGGTGCTGTTGTTGGTGCCAGTGGTGCTGTTAGTGCTATTGGTACTGTTGTTGGTGCTGGTGATGGGAGGAACAGTTCTGCTGCCTTCCTCCCTGCAACCGCTGCTGCTGCTGCTGTTGCCTCTCCACCGCCTCTCCATGATCCTCCTGCTTCCTCTCACGTGGGAGAGTGGAGAACAAGGGTTGAACGAGAGTGGGGGGCAGGAGGAGAGGCAGAGCAGGATAGGAAGCCTTGGGACCTGCAGAGGAGAAGCATGGGAAAAGGGGCGCGGACAGAAGGGCCAAGTGGTGTAACACAGGGACAGGAGGAAGGGGTGGAGGGGCATGAGGGGAAAGGGCATGAGGGGAAAGGGCATGAGGGGAAAGGGCATGAGGGGGTGAGGGGGCATGATGGGGCTAAGGATCCGAAGCTGTTATTTGAAGACATGGATTTTGACTCTCTGCCGCCTATTCGAGCAAAGAAACTCCCAACACCTCCTCCATCACCATCCCCCCCACGCTTACCACCACCAGTATCACCATCATCATCATCACCACCAGTCCCTCCTTTTACCCATCCTCCCTTCCCCCTTCCTCTCCATCCTCTCCCTTCTTCCCTGCCTGTGCCGCGTCCCCCTCCTCTTCCTCACTCCCCTCCTCCCACTCTCCCTCACTCCCCTCCTCACCACCTTTACTCACCCCCTCCCATCCTCCCACACTCCCCTCCACCGCTCTCCTCAGCGTTAAACCTACTGCAGTCCTCTTCCCGTGGGTGTGAGTGGGGCAGGAGGGTTGCATCTTTAGCAGAAGCCGCCACTGCTAGATTGGCTGCTTCTGAGTTTCGAAGATACAAAATGTGTGAGGAAGAGCAAGAGGGTCAGCGTAAGCAGAGGGAGCAAAAGCAACAGCAGCAGCATCAACAGCAGCAGCAGCAGCAGCAGCAGGAGCATCAAGAGGGGTATGAAGCTGGCCTTGAGGCCTCAGGACCCCCTGGGTTTGAGGCGTCTAGAGATTCATTACCTCCTGGCTTTCAGCTGAGAAGAACAGACGGGGAAGGGCAGGAAAAGGCGGGAGAGGAGAGGAGGATGGAGGGGCGAATTAGTACAGGGGAAAGAGGGGAGGGAGGGAGTGTGGCAGCGGCAAGGGATGTGGAGAAGGAGGGAGATAAAGAGATGGTGAAGGAACAAGAAGAGAGAATAGATGTGGAGTTAGGGAGGGTTCAGGATATCCAAGAGCAGAGAGACAGGAGGGAGGAGGAGAGGCATGGAGCAAAAAGGGGTGAAAAAGAAGGGGAAGGGAATGGAGGGGGAAGCAGAGATAGAGGGGAGCGAGAAAGTGGAGGAAAGGGGGATGAAGAAGAAGAGGAGGAGCAGGAGCGAGATGGGAAGGGTGTTGAGACTTCTTGCTCTGAATTTGGTGACGCAGTTGGAGGGGCGACAGAAGCAAGGGGTGTGTGTGAGGGGGGTGGGAGTGGGAGTGGTGGGAGA